CGGTTCAGGGCTGGTGCTGGGACACGCTCACCGGGACAGCTGGTAGCCAAGGAGGTCAAATTCCTTAAGGACCAAGTTACATCTTGGCCTGCATTTAAAAAGAGCTGAACCCTCAACGCTGCTAAAAAGATAAAGTACCTTCCACTTTTTTTAGAGCAGACTTCCAGTGAAATCTTTTTCACTTCCATACAGTTTAATATTTCTTTGGCTAGTCCAACGTAGGGTTTGCGCTTTGTTGAGCTGCACTCAGCTATGTAGCAACAGGTTGCCAGATTAAATACTGGAGTTTTCTCCCGTGGTCCGTATCTGGGACAGTAATTCCACATTCTTGTCGGAGCAGAGCCGTCCCGTTCGTCTGCAGCCAGGAGCCGAGAGGCGATGATTTATAAAGCCAAAATTCCACTTGCAGAGTGTTTCGGGAAGGCACGGCGTGCTCCATCCCGGGGTCAGGAAGGAGACAGCCGAGAGGAGCGCGCTTGCCTGGGGGGCTCTGGGTTTCCAAGCATGGTGATTGACCCAAAAGGGGGAAAAGGGAGTTTGAGGTCTAAAAATAACAAAGAACCAATGTTTTTGTTTGCAGTCCCACCCTCTTCCTGTGGTTTAGCGTATTCTCCAGTTGTTACTTGGGTTTGCTGCTGAGTCTTTGCTAATTAGGGAAGCGGAGCGAGGGAAGTGGGAGCTGTGCCGCCAGCCCCGTGCCGCACATCCCCATTGGGGAGCTTTGCTGCCGTGGCACTGGTAGCCGTGGGTCTGGTGGTGGGGTGAGTCCTGTCCTACAGCATGGTGAGCTGGGCTTGCCCAGAGCAGGGGATGCTGCGGGGAACACAAAGGACCCCATCAGGACAGACCGATGCTCTACTGCTGTTTAACATCCGCAGTTAGCTGGATTAGGGATGATGGAGGGGGCAGCCCTTTTTTGGTACCCTTTACGGATCTGTGGTCCGTGAATTTGTCTCACCTTGAAACTAGTTGACTGAAAATGATGCTGTTAGACATTGTCACCTTTAAACAGGTCAGACCAGAGTGACACAGCCCATCAGGTCAGTGAGTGGGGAGCTCGGGTTCCTCAAAGACCTTGCCAATGGTTGAGTCAGAGGCTAAGGTAAGGTAAGCATTAAGAGTTTGGGTATTGACAAATGACACGTGATTACTTCACGTGCGGGTACCGCTGCGCTCTTCTTCAGTGCAAGAGCGGCCCTGTCTACCAGCCCGTTCCTGCACAGGGGGTTCAGCACGAGCGGTGCTGGTAGCACTTCTCTGGGCACGTCGGGGTGACCTTGCAGCATGGCTGCTCTGCTCGCAGCCTGTCACAGCGAGGCAGATGGACAGAAAACTTGGTCTGGATGAAGTTGTTTGGTCAGAGATCGAGCAGTAAAGGTGTAGGTAGAGAGAATTCACACATGTGGGTCTTTAATTTCTGAGCAGCAGGGCTGCAGGATCATGTAACAAGCAGCTGAAGCTGCCTGCAGGCACTCGGGCAGGATGGAGAAGGACAGGAGAAGTCTGGGTTAGATGGAGATTCCCCAGTGCCGCTGGGGCAGGGCAGAGCTGGTGCAGGCAGCGCAGGCAGCAGGTGTGAAACGCTTCCTGCTGCTGGCTTAGCACGTAAATTCCTGTTGAGAGGAGGAGGAGGATCACACCCGGTGTCGGCCACGGGATCTGATACAATGGACAGCTGAGATGCTGAACAAGAGCCTGGCATGGCTTCAAAGCATCGGCATCCCAGGCGGGTGTGCTTTTGGCGGCTGCTCCCCGGCAAAGCAGCTGAGCGGCCTCAAGCAGCATCGCAGGCCAGGCTTTGGTGGTGCCTCCCCACTCAAGGGGAGGCAGAGTTTATCCCTAAGCAGGTCACAAGCCAAACATTACACAGAGTAAGTGATAAGGGCACAAGGCTGTCGGAATCAGCCATCATCCCAAAAGGAGGAGGGTGTCAAAGCTGCTGCAGCTCCTAGAGAGCATCATGACATCATGTAGATGTGGTGCTCAGGGACATGGTTTAGTGGTGGACTTGGCAGTGCTGGGTTAACGGTTGGACTTGATAATCTTAAAGGTCTTTTCTAACCTAAATGATTCTATGAGATCCCCTGTTCCTTTTCTTACTACAGCAAAATACTTGCTGAAAAATCCCTGCATGGTTGGACTCAGCCTTAAAATTGCATGATAAAGCTGTGACTCAATTCCCGGGTAAAGGCTGGGAGTTCAGATATCCATGGAGGAGGTCAGTGGTTAACTGAGCTCAGGATGGTATTTTTGCAGAGATGAGAAGGTATTGTGAGATGCTTCCGATGTGTTTTACACAAGTGGTGTCAGTCAAGGGAATGAACGCCCAAATACTTGGTCCGCAGACCTAACGCCTTCTCTAGCGAGGCAGCTCCTCTGCTTTGTCTTTAGCTTGCAGCTGTTGCATCAGCTGGCGATTTTGAGGTCGCAGATGGAGGTCATGGTGGGTTTTAGGAGAAATAAATGGCAGGACAGGTTGAAAATGAAGGACCAGGGAAAACCGCCCCCAGTCTCTGTGCAAAAATGCTTTGGTTGACGTGACACCTATTCAAAGCAGTTGCCATTTAAGGTGTAAAAGACCAAGGAGCGACGAGCAGAGACTGCAACGACCCCTTGGTGACAAGGTGTGCCTATGGCTGGGGGACTGAGAAGGCCAAAGGGATTTGCCTGCCCTGGGCTGCCCAGTGAGCTGCAGCCAGCCCCAGCTCCCTCCCGGTCCCAGGACAGCTCTCTGAGGGTCACTGGCTCTCATCCTCTCCCCAGATTCTCCCTCTCTTCTGTGCGAGCGGAGGGTGATGGGGAGGAGCAGTCCCTGAGTGCGGGCGCTGCGTGGACGGGCAGCGGGGCATGACTGGGAGAACAGAAACCAGACAAGTGGGATGCCAACCTCAAGGACTTGCCTCGGAGCTCAGGCAGGCAGCGGCCAGGCAGGATGGGACCCTGCTAGGAAAGTGGGATTAATAAATGGGAGATGAAGTTGCTGCCATAGGCAAAGGACACGAGGCTGGGACTTTAGATGTTTTAGCTTGTCTTTTTCTCTTCCTTCTATGAGCCGGTGAGCATGGCTGAAGATGGGTGTTGAAGAACCTCAAGGCCACTCTCCCGCTCCACGGGACCCTGTGGCAAAGAGTGGATCTGGGATGTGCACACCAGGGCTGGGGTTTCTGGATCCCACTGGGGTCAGGGGCATCTTCTTAGCAGCTGAAGTGCCTGGCTGCATGGAGAAGCCCAGCTGTGAGCCCAGGATGGGAACACAGAGCTCGCTGGCTCCTGGGCTGTGGTTTGGGGGCTGGAGAGCATCCCTTGTCTTTATGTGGGGTAAAGTCTCCTCTCTTGCTTTTCTAGGGCATGTCCAGGAACTTCACACGGGAAGGCCACCAGGCAGGAGCCAACGCGGAGGAGGGTCCGCAGGATCCCCACCACAGGGACAGGGAGAACTGCTCCAGCCTCATCACCAACAGCCTTGCTGACTTTGAGAGCTCACTGCAGCGGGATGCCGAGGCTGCCTACACGCATGTAGAGGTATGACCGCCCCAGCGGGTTGCACAGCTCGAGGTTGCTGCTGCTGTGCAAGCCAGCCCAGAGGGTGTCTCCTGGATGTGGCCTGCAGCAGGCCACCAGCCTGGGATTATTTTCTTCTCGGCTCAGCCAACCTCATTTCCGTGCCTTCAGCTCCAGCCTCCTTCTCTCAGCACAGCCCAGCTGCTGCCGGGACGTAGGAGGGAACAGGAGCAGGCTGCTCCCTGGGCCTCCCCCCTTTCCGCAGGGTTGTTGGTTTTCGAGGTCAGTGGCGGCCGAAGCGCTGGGAAACTCGGGGCTTTTGATTAGCAGGGCTTGGGGGCTCAGTAAAGGGACAGCCTGTCACCCTCCCTCCCAGGGAATTACCCCTCCCCAGGCAGCCCCTGCGCCTGGCTGGCTCCGGGCAGAGATTTGGGCATTCCACTGTCTCCGGTGCCCAGCCCCAGACTGTGGGGGTCCCCACGGGGTCTGCCCAGCGTGGGGACATCCCTGCCCAGGGCAGCAGTTTCTGTGCAGCCCCAAAGAGGGGTGTTTTGGGAAAAGGCCTGCCCAGGGTGTCCTGACCCCCTTGCTGCTTTGGTGGTGCAATCTAGGGTGGCCTCACGCTGCTCTGGTCTGTACTGGGTGGCTCCTGGAGCATCCTGCCTTCACCCTAGGGTCCCCCCTGCAGGGACAAAGGAGGTTTCTGGGGAGGGGGGAATGGTCTCTGCATCGTTGCCAGCTCCAAACAGGGGTGCTCAGCTCCTGGGGGTGAGGACAGCCTGCATGTTGCCTCCCCTGAGAGCAGGCATTGTGGGTCCTATATAGGAGTGGGCTCCCCGAGCCCTAGCGGGGAGAACGGTGGGCTCCCATGTGCGCGCTGGGTGTTGGCGGGTGGGAAAATGGCACTGACCATGACATGCCAGTGCGCTCTGCCCCAGGGCCGTGCCCAGCAGCGCTCCCAGCCCCTCTCCCCCTGCTACCCAGGCCGTAACCTGAGCAGGGGCTCCGCTGCCCGCTGGAGAGGAGCCAGCCCCGGCAAGGGCCAGGCATCTTCTCAGCCAAATGGGCACCACTTCAATGTTCAGGCTGTCTTTCCGATTTCCTTTAACGAGATGAAATCCTTTCAGGCATGAGCTGCAGCAGCTGGTGGCTGCCTCGGTGCGGGGTTCCCAGTCCCTGCCCTGGGGGGAGCTCCCAGTCCCTGCCCCAGGGGGTTCCCAGTCCTGCTGGGAAGGTGCCCTCAGCCCCTCCGCTCTACCAAAGCTTGGTGCACACCGCGCACTCGCTAGGGATCAGCCATTGGCACTCGTCTCTGGCGTGCCAGGAGGTGTCCGGCGGGTGGACATGCGAGCGCTTGCAGTGAGGAGGGTACCCTGCTAATGCTACCCTGGGGTCTCCCTGCTCTGCTTGCACGTCCTGCATCCCATAGCCTGTGCCTTATTGAGCATGCAGTCCCAGGTTTGCAGGGTGGCACCAAGGTCAGGCAGGTGCAGTGCTGGTCTGCCGCCACCGCTGTCTCCCGGGGGGTTTCCCATGGTAGAAGGGACTGAGGTTGACCCTGAGAAAGGAGAGAGGACAGACCATCCTACCCAGTGCTCGGCTAGTCAGCCTGACCTGCCTCGTCCCCCAAAATATAGCCATTCTGGCCCATCCCGTAAAAACCTCCTGTGTCTCTTCCAGGGCAAATATGAAGAAAGATTCCTGAAAGATGAAACCATCTCCCAGCAGATCAATTCTGTTGAGTCTCTCCCGGAGCTACACCTCTCTGCAGAGGACGAGAAGCCCAAGCAGCTCTTGCAGAGGAAGCTGCACGTAAGGAGCCGGCCTCCCTCCAAGCCCACCATCGTCCGAGGGGTCACCTACTACAAAGCCCAGTCCACTGAGTCGGAGAATGACATCGAGGAGCAGCGTGAGTTGGGTTTGCAGCTGCGTCCAGCGGGATGGCTGGCTGCATCCCGTAGCAAAGCCAGCATCCGTCCCTGAGTCCTGCCTTGTCCCTCAGGAACGCATGTGCAAAGCGCGTGGGGCCACCACGGAGAGGAGGGCTTGGAGGCAGGAGGAGGTGGGACGATTGGTACCTCACCGCTGTGCAGCCTTTGAGCCCTGCATGGGGGAGCAGTGCAGTGTTGTTATTCCACGGAAAATCCCTGGTAGCTAAGGAAATAGGTCACTGCTTCAGTTTAAAACACCCAGCATCAACACCTTTCCAGAAAGTAAATGCAAGTTTATTACATATGTTAGTCCTGCAGATCCGCCTGCCCAATGACATCCCTGGAGGTTTGTGCAGTGGTTGGGGTGGCAGGAGGCGGCTTGCAGCTGCGGCTGGCTGCCCTGCAGCTCAGCAAGGTGCTGCTCATGGCTCTGGCCGCGGTGAGAGCTGGAGGCCAAGCCCCCAGGGTCCGGCAGCGCCTGGCAGCACAGGCAAACAAGGCAAGTGCCCTTTCTGTGCAAGGCCAGCTCAGCAGCGAGGTTGGCCAGCACAGCCGTGCATGGATTCGAGAGATCCCGGAGATAAAGAGGAGCAAAGGGCACCAGTGGTCCCGTGCCCTGGCTGAGGCACCCGCTTTGGCAGCTTGGGTTAGGGGAGTGGGATCTGGCTGGGCGCTGCAGCTGTCTCCATCTGCCCCATCTCTGGGAGCTGGCAGGATTGAATGGCAGTCCCTCACCTCCTGCTCCGCTCGGCCAGAGGTGGTGGACATGGGTGGGATGGGGTCTCACTGACCTCCTGATGTGGGCACCATAAGCCCCTGCCAATCGTGCAGCCCTTCTCTGGCTGGAAATGAAGAGGAAAAGTGTGTGGTACAAGAAAGCCTGGAGAGGTGGACAGAGGAGCCAGAGGGGTGGGGCAAGCGGAGAGGGGCCATGGGGGACCTGCTCCCGCTCGCTGTGGGGCTGACGCCCGTGCCTGTGTTTGGCAGCAGATGAGCTCTTCAGCGGGGACAACACAGTGGACCTGCTGATCGAGGACCAGCTCTTGAGGCCCAGCAGCCGGGCGGGCGAGGGCATGAGGAAACCCTCCCCAGTGGGATGGCCACCCACCCCCGGCAGCGACCCCACCACCCCGCCAGCTGCCGACACTGCTGCAACAGCCACAGTGCCCCTGTCCCCTGCCACGTCCACGGGGCCCACGCCGGACCCCACCACTGTGAGCTGGCTTACCCCCACCCCGGAGACCACGACTGCTCTGGCAGGGCTGGCAGAGGAGGGGACCCCACAGCTACCGGCTGCCCCGGCCAGCACAGCGGGGGGCACCACCCCGGACA